AAAAACTCATATAAAAATATATTTTAAAATAATATTTAAAAATACATCAATTTTTTATATTTTTATTAAAAATGTTAAATAGAGAATTTAATATTATTTATATTCATAACTTAATATAATATAATACATCTATTTTGTAATTTAATATAATATTTCATCTATGTTAATATATAAAATAAAAATTGATTTAAATTTTTTAATAAAAAAATGTATCACGCATTATAAATTTTAATTATTTAATTGTAGATTTATGTTAAGTATTTGTGTTTATTTTGGAATCAATAATTTTGAAAAGACTTAATCAAAGAATTTATACATAATTTTTTTCTATAAGTAAATTTATTATCACAGGAAATTTAAAACTAATAAAATTTCTAAAATAATATTTATCAAATTATGCATATACATATTTTTGTTTTTTAACAATAATATTTAGGTTATGTTTATATATGGCTTAACGCTTATATCGTATGTCACATCGAAGTAAGTGATAACGATATGTATTTTAATTTTTATTTTCTTTTAAGTGTTCTCGTTGTAATTTTGAATACAGCATAAATTTGCATAATGATTGCAATAATTTTGTCTACATTAGTATATGATTAGTTTTATTATTAAATATATAATTTGATAACAGATGTCTAATATTAAACATATAATAATTTATGACTATTTTTTATGTATTTAAAGAATTATAAAACGGTACGTTTAACATATTTATTACAATATTTAATTATATTTTACTACATTGCATAATGTTTATAATTTATAAATTTTTATAAATTTTAATCAAAAATATTAAATTAAGAAAAATAAAAACAATAAAAATAAAAAAAATAAAAATGATATTTTATAAATTAAAAAAATTATTTAATAATTATTTATTTCATATAAATATTTTAACATTTATGTTATGTAGTAAACAAATTTATTTTTGCATTTTTAAAAATAATATATGATAAAAATTTATACTTACAGATTATATTTATTTCAAAATATGACAAGATCACATATAAAATATCAAATTGCAAAAGATGCAGATGATACATCAGATTATTTTCTTCAACCAGTCCAAGAACTTTCAAATATATCCAAAAAGGAAATATCTCTTTGGAAAAAAATTTTTCGAACTATTACATTAATTTTTTGTTATTTTATCTTATCTGTAGGTTTAACATTTTATGTACAATGGCTTTATAATACATATGTAAGTGAAGAATTGTATAATTTATAAAAATTTATTATCTAATTTAATTTTATTTATGTGCACTTATTTTTTTAGGGATTTCATTTTCCACTTACTGTGGTAATATGTCATTTATTATTAAAATTTTTGTTATCTGCTTTAATAAGATGTATTAAAGCATGTTGGAAAAAACAACAGCAATTAAAACTTCCTTTACAAAGCATAATAGGAATGGTTATGCCAGTTGGCATAGCTAGTGGTCTTGATGTTGGTTTATCAAACTGGGCAATTTCACTAATTACTATGTCATTGTATGTATCTATTATTTTACATTAAGAATATGATAAAATATGATAAAATATGATAAAATATGTTAATGAAATATATGATTTAGATATACAATGACAAAATCAACTACTATCATTTTTATTCTTGGATTTGCACTTTTTTTGAGATTAGAGAAAAAGGTAATTGTAATAATTTTTTTATGTGAACATTGTAAATATAAAATATTACAATGCAAAATTATTTATTTAAAAAATAATTTTGTTGTAGTCTTGGTCATTATCATGTATTGTAGTAATGATATCAGGAGGCTTATTTATGTTTACTTACAAATCAACACAATTTGGAATTTTCGGATTTGTAATTTGTCTCTTAGCATCATTTTCAAGTGGTATTCGATGGACTATGACACAATTAATTATGCAAAAATCTAAATTTGGAATGAAAAGTCCAATTGATATGATGTACTATATGCAATTGTGGATGTTATTACCTATTGTACCAGTAATGATGTGGTTTGAAGGTATATATATATATACACAAATATATAACTATATATATAAGTATTTCTTGTTTAATTATTTTATAATTAAATTATAAAATATTTTATAATTATTTTATTATTGTATTTAAAAATCATATTAATTTGTCTTCAAGAAAAATATTATTTTTAGGACCTCGTCTGTATAATAATTTTAAAAATACTGATTGGAATAATGTTCATACTATTGCAATGACTGTAACTGCTATATTTGGAAGTGCTATTATAGCTTTTCATATGGAAATTATGGAATTTTTAGTTGTTACATACACTTCTAGTCTTACACTTTCAATTACTGGCATAATTAAAGTAAGCTAAAAAATATATATATACATATAATATATTTACATACATACATAATATATTTATGTAAAAATCTTTCATTTTTT